AGGCTGTGGCCCAGGCTAACATGGTGACTTGGGCTGTGACCCAGGCTCTGCACAATGACCCAGGTTGTAACCCAGGCTCTGCAAGGTGACCTGAGGTGTGATTGAGGCTGAACACTATCTCCAGGCTGTGACCCAGGCTCTGCATGGTGACCTGAGCTGTGATTGAGGCTCTACACAGTTTCCAGGCTGTGACCCAGGCTCTACAGGGTGGTCTGATTGTGATGCAGGTGTAGTAGTTGCTGAAATGCATATTTGAGAAGTGGAGAAGCCTGGAAACACTCAGCCAAGCATCGGTCCCGGATTTAAGGAAAGGAACAGTAAGCCACACCTGAAGAACGCAGACGCAGTGCAGAAATGCACACGTGACACCTGTGCATCTGAGATGAGGAAATCACTCTCTGGGAAGATGTGATGAGTCAGATGCAGCGGAGACACTCAGAGCACTCCTCTACCAGGAAGTCCCCCAGATTCTGCAGACAGAAGAGGGATGCTGGACACTTAGATGGCAGTGCGGCTGCAGGTTCTGAGGAAACGCAGAAAACGGGACGAAACGTCTGGACAGGCAAACCCACCAAGTGGATTAGTGGGGGGCAGGGGTGGGGGCCGCAGCAGTGCCTTTCTTTGTGAGACTGTGAAATACCCTGCAGTCGACCTGGAGGTGTTTGCACATATCTGGGAATGTGTGCAAGACCCTGATTCCAGGACCTCAGGTGAGTGATTTTATGGCATGTGAATCATACCTCCGCAAAGCTGATTGGAAAAGAGAAAAGTACTTGGATCAGAAGGAAGATCTTTTCATCCAGCAGAGGTCAGGCCACGGGGCTTCGCAGCAAGTCCTACCAAACAGGACAACAGGATGCTAGTCTGACCTGTCTTCCGGCAAAGTTATAGAGCGAATTCTTGCTGAGGCGCGGAAACCTGGAAACCTGGCAGGATGAGTGTGGAAGAGAAAATTAGAAATGCAGGTGCAGGGGCCTAGACACAGCATCCTGGGGCAGCAGCTAGGGTGTGAGGGAGGCCAAGGCACCCCGCTGTCACTCCGGGAGAGCAGGGAATGGCTGGTTTAAACAGATGACAGCACAGGAGTCACATGCCCGCAGGGGCCGGGGCTACCTCTGATGACCCTTAACATCTGTTGGTGAGTTTTGAAAAGCTTGGAGCAGACGTAAAGTGGGGGGAACTTCTTTAGCCTAGAGGCAGCCTCAAACCACATGCTCGTGGCTGAAACGGCCAGAGCTTCCTATGAGGACCAGGACTCAGGCAAGGATGCTGTGGCTGCCTGTGACGTGTCTCAGACCCTCGGGCAGGATGGCGGTGTGTCTGCGGCGATGGTGTTCCGGCCAGGTGAGCACTGTGATGCTCCGGCTCTGTCCTCTGGTGCTCTGCCCACCTGCAGGGCCTCTGCACCTCCCGAGGGGTCTGGGTGGCAGGGACGCAGGTTTCGGCATGTGGTACAGGTGAGCAAGGGCGAGGTTCCCTGTATCCTGGCCCCGGAGCCTATGTCTCTCTCTCACGCAGGGCACGCCTCCCTTCCAGCACGAGGAACCATCAAGGCGCTGGGCCCCACGGAGCAGTGGGCAGATTGTGCACCGTGGTGCTCAAAGCCCTCATGGAGCAGGAAGGCAGCAAGGGTCCCTGGGATGGAAAGAGAAAGCCAGCAGCCTCGTCTGTCTGCAGACCACATGATAGGACACAGCCTCTGGATGCTGTCGGAGGCGAATCCCCACACGGTGGGCGCACAGGAGGCCAGCTAACGTCGGATCAGCTGCACGTCCCCGCTCCTGGTCAGGAACCGACCAGCACAGGGCCCGTACCTGTCACATGGTGTGGGGCTGCTGCTCAGCCTCCTGGCCCAGCACGGGCAGAGGGCAGCCAGCTGGGGTGGGGTCAGGGTGGGCAGCTGGGCAGGGCCTGAGCTGTGCCAGGGGCCTGGGGCACCATTGGGGCTGGACCAAGCAGCATCAGATCACAGGCCCTGTAGGTGGAGGCTGGCCTGCGGGGCTGCATGTGGAGCATTGCTGGTTTGCACGGGCCCCCGCCGTCCCATGCACATGTGACAAGCTCTCGGGGATGGAAGCGAGCTGCTGCTGCCCGGGGCCTCCCGTGTTCTGGGCCGACTCCTGCCCTGGGCCCCCTGGTGCAGCAGGTTGTGGCTTCCTGGTACCTGCCAAGCTCCACGGTACGGATAGCCCCATTGTTCAGCCAACTGCGGGCCTCGCGGTATAACACGGCGCTCCCGGGGTCATGTCATGGCAGGCGTGGGTTTCGAGTATGTGACATGAGTGTGCATGCTTTTTCGACCTGTATCTGGAGCCTGTAATTCTGGAGACAGACCTGGGGGGCCTGCGTCCAGACTCCCAGCCTGCAGGACTGCCCCCCCCCCCGCCGTGTCCCAACTGTCCTGATCTCTGTACCTCCAAGGATGCATCTGTGGTGTTTCTGAGTCGGGTGGAGCTTCTTGTAAGTTTTACGAGATGTGTTCCCTCCCCTTAAGCTCCGTGCTTCTATCTCATGTCCACTCGCCACCGGCTCCTTTTGTTGCTGCTCCACAGGCAAGTCCGCATGCACCTGCACACACGGAGGAAGCTGGCTCCTGTGCCCATGTGTCCCCTGAGACATGTCTTCTGGTTTTTGGACTCTGCAGCCCTTTGCTGGGCACAGGTTCCTGTCCTTTTGGAGGCACAGGAACTCACTGCATTTTTAAGGGCCATGTGGATGCAGGCCAGCCCCAGGGGAGCCCTGCCCTCAGCCCTGTGGGCCATGTGGACACAGCACTTCCAGGCGGGCTGGGGGTGGTGTCACCCACCATCTCACTGCCTCTCCTCATCCACACCCACAGCTGCCCTTCCCAACACAGCCCCAGGTACTCCGGGGATGGCCTTGCCATAGTTGGTCCGTTTGGACCCAAGATGTCTTGGCACCAGCCTGGAGCTGGTTAATCTTGAAGAATCCAGTCTCGGGGACATGCAGGTTGCAGGCCACAGCTCTCTGATGTGTGGTGGCGTGCCGTCCTGGGCACAGCTGTTGACATTCCTGTCTGGGGACCAGTCGCCACTGTGGGAGCTGCCTTTGTGTGGGGAGTGGCCCTTCCAGCCCCTGGCGTGGCGTCGTCAGGCTCCTGCATGCCCCTGGCCCAGCTTGGCAGCTGTCCTTGTGTTTGGGGCTGTCTGAGCTCCGGCATGAGGCCTGGGAGTGTAGGAGCCATCCAATGTCCACCCCTACACATACCCATGTCTTTGGGCGTGAAGCCCTAACCCAGGATGTGTCGCTGCGTCCTCCCTGTCCTGTGGCTCATCCAGCACGGTGTCCTAGCTCCGGGCTCACACGTGCCTTCTCCCCAAAGGCCTTGCTGCCCATGTGAGGCCTGTCTGTGCTCTGGAATCTTGTTGGGCTTCTCATCGGCTCACACCCACACTGGTCACTGTGCACCAGTGGGCCCTCCTGGCCCAGAGTGTCCCCAGGCATGTGCCCTGTAGCGTCTGTATGGACTCAGGCTTGTAGGAACATGCTTTGGGTTCTGCTCGGCAGTGCCCTTGTCCATGGGGCCAGTTGGAACTCTCCGCTCATGTCCATGCGCTCTCTGGTGCTGGCTGGCTTGGAGCACCATGGGGAAGAGGGCCAAAGTCTGGGGTGGCTGTTCTCAGGGAGCCACCAGCCACCAGTGTGAAGAGGGTGGTGGGGTTGGTTCTTTCCCCTCCGGGTGCATCACTGGCCTCAGGCCCTGCCTTCGTAGCTTCACTCTGCAGGCTGTGTGCACAGAGCTGCCTATCTGCCACCTGACCGCCTGCTCCCCTCTGCACCCCAGGCCCAGACCATCTGCAGTGGCATCCCCGTAGCCTTGCCCTGCTCCTGCCTGGGCTTTAGCACCCTGGCCTCCTGTCCACAGGGAGCTGACCAGAAAGGCAAGACAGGTGCTGCTCCTTCAGGGGCCTGGGTCCGGGACCCTTGGAGCAGGGATAGGTTCTACCCTGCATAAGCCCTGCCCTTGGCAGAGTAGGTGTGGATCCACCTCAACACACACCCAGGCCCCCGCAGCAGGCAGGGCCAAGGAGAGGCCACACAGGGGGATGTGAAGGGCAGGGGGAAGGCTGGGGCTTTGGAAGCCAGGACCTTAGGCTGTTCCCAGGGAGCCTAGCCTCCAGTATCAATGCTGGGGTCTGCTACAAGGCCTGCCCGGATCCCTTCCCTGAAGAAAGCCGCTGGGAGCCAGCCCAGTGGCCACCATGCCCTTGAGGGGGCTTTCAAGTGGCAGCAGGAAGAGGGATGGAGCAAAGTGTCGCATTAAGTGTCTGGGGATGCCTGGCACCCCTGGCTCCTCTGGGCTGGTTGGCTGGGGTGGGGAGGCTTGTTTCCTGTGATGTGCATGTGGGGAGGGTCTAAGCCCCACCCACATCTGGTTGGGCACTCCCACCCACCTTGTCCTGAGGGCTAAGGGTCTGGCAGATGCTGGGCAAGGGTGTGTGAGGACACAAACCTCTGGGTCGGAGCCCAGAGCAGGCAGGAGGTCCGAACTGGTCCGTCCCTGGGTGAAGCATATGAAATGGGGGTTGGGGAAAGCCTAAGAACTGGTGGTTGACCCTCAAGGTCTGGACCTTAGCTCAGATGAGAGATGTGGAGCTGCAGGAGAACCAGGAACCGGCCTGGGTTCTGCGGGAGGTCCTCTGTGCCCAGGAGTTCCGGGAGACCCCACTGGGCCCTGCAGGGCCATCTGCAGAGGTGGCAAGTGGGCAGGGAGTAGCCCAGGGCCCTCTCCCAGAGGCTGCAGGCTGAGGGGCTGGGCCACCCCAGCTGGGGTCCTGGAGGAGTGCCTGCTCCGGCTGGGTAAGCACAGGAGCAGGTGGGTGCGTCCATGTGGTCCCCCTGGGCTCTGACACCCCTCCCTGCCCTGACCAGCTGTGCCCTTGGCACACATGCTGCGCTGGGCTGCCCTCCCCAGGTGTGGGTATGTGTGGTGGTGCTCACCTCCAGAGCGGCCCTCACCCCGGCCCCTCTGCACCCAGGCTGACTGGCAGCGAGCCCCTGACCATCCTCCCGCTGACCCTGGAGCCCGAGGCTGCAGCGCAGGCACACTACAAGGCCTGCGACCGACTGAAGCTGGAGCGCAAGCAGAGGCGCATGTGCCGCCGAGACCCAGGTGTGGCCGAGACGCTGGTGGAGGCGGTCAGCATGAGCGCCCTGGAGTGCCAGTACCAGTTCCGGTTCGAGCGCTGGAACTGTACTCTGGAGGGTCGCTACCGGGCCAGCCTGCTCAAGCGAGGTGAGTGCACCATAGTGCCTGGCAGGCCTTCCAGCTGGGTCTGTGCCCCCGGGGCACCACTCCTTCACCTGGTCCTAAGGCCCCTCTGAGTGGCTTAGGGAGCCTGGGTGCTTCACTTCCTCCAGGCCGCTCACTCCCTCGGTGGGCTCAGTCTTCACTTGATCACCCTTCCCTTCTGGCCCATCCGTCCATCCACCTGTAGTTCCTCCCTCCTTCTGAACTGCCAGTCTAGTCGCCAGCCCTGCCACCTGGTCCTGTCCCTGCCCCTTCCTTCCCACCTGCCCCTAACTCCTACCCTGCTCTCTTCCCACCCAGACCCTTGACTCGCCTTTCCTCTTGCCTTGCCCCTCCTTGGGGAAAACTTGCTGGCCCCAGGAGGCATATTTGGGTGCTTTGATGCGGCCTAAGGCAGCTCTGATGGCTCTGGCCACATGGTGGTGACCAGGGCCCAGCGGCTGGGCATGAGGTCCAGCTGGTGCCCTGAGTAGAGAGCCTTCTTCCTTACGTCTCCCTTGGACTCTGATCTGAGCTTCTCAACAGTCTCCTTTAAAAACTGGGGACCTGAGACCCAGGGCAGGGAGGGGCTCGCCGCCAGTCTGGTGGGTAGGTGACCTTGAAGGACGAAATTTCTGATCCCTGGGCAGAGCTGGGTCTCCAGGTGCTGTGAACTCTCTGTGCCCTCTTCCATCATACCCCGGGGCAGAGGGAGCACGCCTCCTCCCTGTGGGCCTCCACCACAGCCCAGGCAGGTACGCCCCTACCCAAGGCGATCATCAGCCAGGGTCCTTCCCATGGACCCTACCTGTGGCCAGGAGTCAGGGCTCTGGTCGGACTGCCCCGACTTGGCTGTGCCTGGGCCACATGGGGGGTGCTCCCGCTGGCTCACCGGCCGATCGTCCCTGCGCCACCCCCGCACCCCGCAGGCTTCAAGGAGACTGCCTTCCTCTACGCCATCTCGTCTGCGGGCCTGACCCATGCGCTGGCCAAGGCGTGCAGCGCGGGCCGCATGGAGCGCTGCACCTGCGACGAGGCCCCGGACCTGGAGAACCGGGAGGCCTGGCAGTGGGGTGGCTGCGGGGACAACCTCAAGTACAGCAGCAAGTTCGTCAAGGAGTTCCTGGGCCGGAGGTCGAGCAAGGACCTGCGAGCGCGTGTGGACTTCCACAACAACCTCGTGGGTGTGAAGGCAAGCGGGGCGGGGCACCGCGGGGTGGGGCGGGGAGTCCACAGGACAGGGCGTCTGTGGGCAGGCTGTCTGGGGCGGCAGGGTGGGGGATCTGTGGGCGGGGCATCACTGGGGCTGGGCGTCTGTGGGGCGGGGTGGGGCATCCATGGGAATGGGCTGGGGCTGCTGCTTGGGGGTCAGTGCCACCCTTGAGCTGCCAGCCGGGCCCTGGAGCCTCCCTGCCTGTCAGGCTCACTGTCTTCCGGGGGTGCTAGGTGCCGCTGTGACCTCTCATGAGGTGGGGGGTCCGGGGGTGTTCTGGGGGCTGCTGGCTGCAGGCGGGTTGGACCTGGGGCTGCCTGGCTCAGCGCCATCCTCCACCCTCCTTGCAGCCCCTCAGCGCCAGAGGAGGCCTGGGGCCCATCACTAGGGCCATTCCCCCCCCTGTGGACAGAGCACCCCATCCCCACAGCCCCCACACACCTGGGACCACCAGACACCCCCTGAGGCTCTGTGGGGCTGTGGGATGGTCAGGGGCTCTGCGTGCTCGGCAGGCTGCCCCTGGGATGTGGAGCTCAGCCGTGGTGGGGGGGGGGGGCTGTAATTAGAGCCAGCCCTGCTCTGAGCCCTTTTTATTGAGAAACAAGAGTTCTGAGTCCTGTGCTTATTAAAGAATCAATTTCCCCTTTTCTCTTTGGAGCTGTGCCCCCCTTTGTACCCTCCCGGGAGGGGCGGGAACAGATTAAATCCCTAAGGCGAGGCTCCTTTTCTTTTGCATTCTCTCTTTTGTAAGCTATTAATGAAAAGTCAGAATATGGAAAGTGCTCTATTAGCTCTGCTGGGCCAGGGAAGCAGCACTTTAATTAAATTTGTCCGAGTTTCTCAGCAAAGTGTCATTGAATGTGACTCTTCTATTGCCTGGCCAGAGGGCAGCTACGTTTCCTAATCCCCCTCAAGCCAGTGGGCCCTCCCTGGGGGCAGCGTGGGAGCTCTGGCCCGGCTTGGGGATGGGGTGCCCTGGGGAAGGCCTCCCCTCTCTGCTGTCAGGGATCCCCGTGTGGGTGGTCAGATAGGAGGCCCCTCCGTGCAGCCCTGTGTGTGTGTACATGCGGGTGCCGCTCCTCCTCTCTGGAGGATCTGATGGCCGGTCCTGCCAACTGGGCAAGTAACTCACTTGTCCTCCCTCCCTCCAGGAAGCAGGATGCTGAGACCAGACTGGGAGGTCCTGGTGGGGCGTTGGCAGTGAGGCTCCCCGGGTGGCATGCTCAGCCCCTGCGGGCGGGCAGCCCTGGATGCAGGGAGGGACGGTCCCCACCAAAGGCCTCCACTGTGGGGCCAGGTCCTGGATGTAAGGCATCTGTCCTAGGCCATCAGAGGCTTGGAGAGGGGAGGGATAGGCACATGAGCCAGGAGCCTGGGTGATGGGTAGTGATAATCTGCCAGGTTGGCCTGGGACCTGGGGGGCCTGGGGGTCAGCTGTAGGGGCTGTTCCCAGCCTCACAGTGTGGCCCTCATGCCCAGCTCCCCTCCCCCCCACCAGGTAATCAAAGCCGGGGTGGAGACCACGTGTAAGTGCCATGGTGTGTCGGGCTCCTGCACCGTGAGGACATGCTGGCGGCAGCTGGCACCCTTCCATGAGGTGGGCAAGCGCCTGAAACACAAGTATGAGACGGCGCTCAAGGTGGGCAGCACCACCAATGAGGCCACTGGTGAGGCCGGTGCCATCTCGCCACCTCGGGGCCGGGCTACAGGGACAAGCGGCAGTGACCCGTTGCCCCGCACACCAGAGCTCGTGCACCTGGATGACTCGCCGAGCTTCTGCTTGGCCAGCCGCTTTTCCCCAGGCACTGCTGGCCGCAGGTGCCACCGGGAGAAGAACTGTGAGAGCATCTGCTGTGGGCGTGGCCACAACACGCAGAGCCGGGTGGTGACGCGGCCGTGCCAGTGCCAGGTGCGCTGGTGCTGCTATGTGGAGTGCAGGCAGTGTACCCAGCGTGAGGAGGTCTACACCTGTAAGAGCTGAGCCCCCCGGGTTGGGGCCCCCGGTACACCTGGCACATGGTGACAGGAGCCTGGGGATGGGCTGGGTGGGCTATCTCTGCCCCTCTGTCCCCCTTCTCCAAGACTGAGGGTGGGAGGTGGCCCTGGTGTGGCCCCGCATCCCTGTCCGCCCCCACCTCATGACCTGAGAGCGCTATACCATGCTTTCTAAGCTGTGTCCGTCCCTAAGAGGCCAGTTCCTGCAGAGTGGTGCCCCTCCCTGCTCTGGGCTCCCTCTGCCGAGCGGCAGGCACATCTTTGTGATCACATAGGTCCCCTGTGTGGCCGCCTGTGGGCTGTCCTGCTCCAGCACTGGCTTAGAGAGTCAAACCACTAGGAGAGAGACAGCCCAGCTGCCCGGGTGTGGGGGTCACTGCCATCCCCTCTGACATGGAGCGCTTCTCTCGGGAGTGATACCGGTGACTTTTAAATTATTTTTATTTAACTAATATATAATAATTATTTTTCCACCCCCACTCTGTCTCAGGCCTCAGCTTCCTCTACTCTGGAGGGAGCCTAGTCTGGAGGGTTCCTTCCCTCCCTCCCCCCATGCCCCTCCTAACCTCTTTGCCTGATCTGCTTTGTCGTTTGAAACCACTAAAATTGAGAGGGATGTTGCTGTTGTGTTTAAAGTAGTAAAGCAGGTTGTATCCAGTAGCCCAAGCCAGCTGTCCCCCAGGGACCCTACTCTGGGCAACTTTGGGCATGCATTCCTGCACTCCAGGCTCTTCTGTGTGGGGTTGGAGGCTGCAGGGGGCTGGGCAAAAGGGAAGGGGCCATTTCATAGCTTGCTTCGTGTTAGTGTTACCGTGGGAGGAGGCGGAGGTAAGGACGGGTGTGGACAGTGAGAATCTGGGGCTAGGATTTGGCAGAGGGTGGGCTGCTCTCCTTGGCCAGGCTGTTGTATTTGCAGGGAAGGAAAGTGGATGGGCGACACTGACCTGGTTTGGTTTGAGTGTGTGTGCATGTGTGTGTGTATGCCTGCACGAGTGTGCATGAGCACACGCGTGTGGGAAGCACGTGTGCATGAATGCGCCTGCATGTTTGTGCATGAGCACCTGCATGTGTCTGTGTGTTGCGTATGTGCGTGTGAGCACGTATTATGTGTGTACACACATGAGAATGTGTGAGCCTATGTGTGTATCTGTGTGAGTGTACATGGGAGTACATGGGGGCTTGTATGAGCACACACATATGTGCCGTGTGCATGTGTGAGAGCATGTGTGGTTGTGTGTCCATGTGCACATGTGATACGCATGCGTGCATGTGGGTGAACACGTGCCTACGTGTATCTGTGGTGTGTGCCTGTGTTGGCACGGTCAGTGGTCAGCTGGGGCGGCCTCGCCTGCAGTCCTTCCTTAGGGTGGAGTGGCCCTTCCCCTGTTGGCATGAACTGCAGCCCTGGCTCCCAGGTCCTCCAGCTGTGGCTGTTTGGTGGCAGGGTGCAGTGTCCCCCCACCCCCAGGGGAGTGGCTGTGTCCCCGGGGGGACACAGTGTGAGGGTGCGGTGCAGACTTGGGAACTACTGAGTGAGGGGGTTCCCTGGAGTCCCATGGGCTCCGGGAACCCTGGGGACTGTGTTTTTAAAAGGAAACCTATTTATGTGGCTGTGGGGCTCCGTCCCTGGTCATAGTGTAAATAGTAAAGTCTATTCTGTGGTTCAGAGAAGCTCCCCGTGAATATGTGCATCCTGAGGGGGGACATCATGAGGGGGACCGGGGCCCAGTGCAGGTGCAGCCAGCCACGCCCATGACAAGACTGTAGCTCAGTCACTTCTGGGTCTGCAAAGGCAGCATGCCAGAGGAAGGAGATCGTTTTAACCAGATACCACATTTAGCTCTATGTCATAAATATAAAGTATTTTTTTAAACAAGGCAGGCTGGAAACGTCTGCTGGCTGGTGTGTTTATGTATAAATATATATCAGAATATCTTGCTAAACAAAGAAGCAACTCCTCCCGATGGAGCCTCCCAGCTCACTTCTCTTCGGTGCAGGAGGGATCCTCTAGAAGAAGCTGTATTCTGGGGCCAGGCCTGGGCCCCTGGGTCAGCCTCTCTGGGAAGGGGAGCGGGCCACAGGCGGGAGCCATGCGGAGGGCCAGGCGGGTCCCGGCCACCTGCTCCCCGCTGGCCACTCAGACGGGGTCGCACCAGGTGCGGGCATTCACACGCGAGCTCTCATCTCTGCACCGAGTGCGTCTCTCTCTTGCGAGCCTAGCATTTCTCTACCTCATCTGTACAGCGATAGCATGTACTCGAGTGACTTGGAGAATGTATTTATTTAACGCTTTGTGTAATGGAACAGAAACCAAATGGACACTAAATAAATGTATTTTAAATTATAGCCCCATCTGAGTCTGCTCCCTTCAGAGGGGTTCTGGAAGGCCTGAGGGAGGAATGTGTGAGGGAGGGGGGTGGGGAGGAGGGCCTGGGGAGGAAGAGGATCTGAGGGGGGAAGGAGAGCCAGAGAGCCGGAGGGGGAGGAGGGTCTGAGTGGGGAGGAGGGTCTAATGAGGGAGGAGGGTCTAAAGGAGGAGGAGGGCCCCAGGGGGGAGGAAGGCCTGAGGGGAAGGAGGGTCTAAGAGGAGGAGGGTCTGAGGGGGGAGGAGGGTCTGATGAGGGAGGAGGGTCTCATGGAGGAGGAGTGTGTGCGTGGGGAGGAGGTACAGGCTTAGGAGCAGGAGTTCCCTTGTGGGCAAGCAGCACCCAGCGGGCTGGACTGCAGAGGTGGAGGTGTGCTGCACTGTCCTCAATGCAGAGGCTGCACCTCCCCTGTGCAGAGGTCCCAGCAGGGTCGGAGGTCCGTGCACCTGTTTACGGGCCAACCCTGGTGCTGGGGCCCCTGGGGCTGTCCAGCTTGACCCCTGTCCTGGCACCCAGCCTCGCCTTCCAGGACTTTCAGGGAGGGCCATGTGAGCCTGGCCAGCCTTGTCGGCAGCCGTGGGCCTGGCCTGGCCATGTCTACTTGTCTCCCCGGAGCCACTGTGTCCATGTCCGAGAGGGCTGTTGGCAACAGGCCTTCCTCTTGCACTCCTGGAGGCCCAAATACCAGACTGTGGGCTGGGTCTCACCCCTGGGGGCACGTCCTTCCCGCCTCCCCTCCCTCATGGGCTCCGCCCCAGCCTCTACTTACCCCTTCTCGCCTTACATCTGTTATGGGACGCAGGACCTCGCTGACTATCCAGCATGCTTCCGTCTGGGGACCCTTGATCACATCTGCGAAGACCCCCATTTCAAAAAAAGATCACGTCCTGAGGTTAAAGTGGGTGATAGCTTGGTGGGTGGGGCAGCTCCACTGTGGGTACTGTGCTCTCCGCCAGGGTGGGGCTGGGCTGGGCTGGACAGAGCGTGTGTCTTCCTCCTGGAACAGCCCTTTCCTCCTCACCTCAAGGCCTGTGTCCTTTTGGGGGTGATGAGGAGAGCCCTTGGGCTGTGGGGGGCAGCAGAAGGGTCGTGGCACCTCCCCCCACCCCCGTGGACGCCACTGCTGAGACAAAGGACACTTCTGGGGTCAGACCTCTGCCAGGCTGCGGCTGAGGTCCCTCTGCAGGGTGCTGGGCTCTGTAGGTGAGGTACGGGGTGATTGCTCAGCAGGGGGAGCTGGGGAACCCACGGGGCAGCAGGTGGTGGAAACCCAGGCCTCTCCCCACACACTGACACTGGGGTGCAGGAAGGGGGCTCAGGCCTCTGCCCGTGGGCGGGAGGGGATGGTGGGTGGCCCAGCAGAAGGAGCAGAGGAGCAGAAGGCCCAAATGGGGTTGTTCTTCCTGCAGCTGATAACAGCTCTGGTGTAGGCTGTGGGGGGGTGGGCTGGACAGTCAGAGGAAGGGGTCGCTGGGCTGGGTGGCCTAGACAGGCCTCAGAGGAAGGGGGCACTGGGCCGGGGGCTGGGCAGTCAGAGGAAAGGAGGTGCTGGGGTGGGTGGGCTGGACAGGGCCACATAGCCTCCCGCACGGCTGACCTTCCTGTTGCCTGGGGACCCCAGGGCTTCCCGTCTGTCCGTGGCTCTGTGTACAGTGGATATGTGGATATGCTCCATGTGTGTCCGTGTCTGCATGTGTCTCTGTGTGTTAGCACCCTGAGGATAGGGCGGCTGTCCCTCTCCTCTAGCACCTGCCCTGCCTACTGACTGGTGGCTGTGGTCTCCCCCACCCCGTGTCTGGCCTCCTCCAGCTGCCAAGCTTCTAAGGTCCAGCGCAGAGCCTGAGGTAGAAGACCTGGCCACCCCAGCACACTGGCAGGTGCTCAGACACCCCAGAGGCTGCAGGGTGCTTCTTGCCCACCTGGGACAGCAAGGAGGCCCAGGAAATTCCAGAGGATGTGGCATCCCCGCAGGCTTGCTGGCACACATTGGGTGAGGGGGCCAGAGCAGAGGAGCCCCAGGGCAGGCTGGCGGCTGCTCAGAGCCCCTGGCCTCCCCTGCCATGCACAGGTGCCCAGGCAGCTCCGGACACACAGGTGGCCCGGCCCTGGTTGGGGGGACGTCTGGGGGATTAGGTAAGGCCAGTTAGGTAATGTCTCAGACGGGAAGGTGATCAGCTGGAGCGCCTGCTTTCCCTGGTGACTTCAGAGATGGAGGATGAGTGTAGAAGCATGGGGGAGGAGGGAAGGAGGAGGGAGGAAGGAGGGAGGGGGAAGAGGGGGGAGTGGAGGGGAGGGGGGAGACCAGGAAAGGCAGCTAGTGCCTGGACAGGCCCCAGCAGGGCCCCAGGTCACCTTGCTGTGGGACCCAGGGGGGGTGCCCCGGGACCACTGGGAGCTGGGAGCGTGGCCAGGGAGGCTTGAGGGGACCCAGTCAGGCAGCAGGAAGCAGGTGCCCCAGAAGCAGCCCCTGAGGGGTGCAAGGAGCCCACCACCCAGGAGTCGGGGGCCCAGAGCTTGGAGGGACTGTCCACTCAGAAGCCGTGAGCAAGTCGAGGTCACTGTGGCCCCCTCCCAGTGGGTACACGGCCCCTGTCAGGGAACCTGCTCTGGGTGGGGGTTCTCTGAGTCAACCCCACCCCTCCTGAGATGGCGGTGGGAGGATGGACAGCATGGTGGGCTGGACCTGCCCCTGCTCCTGGGCTGCTCCTCCACCTCCCCTTCCTCTTTACCCCCACCTGTGATGCACCCGCCCCCTGGGTGGCTGTGTCCCCACCTCCTGCCTGGCTACTGAGCTCCCCCTGGAAGCAGCTGTGCCCTCTGAGTGCTCCCTGCTCCCTGCCCAGGACCTTCTCTTGCCCACTGTGCAGTACACAGGTTGGGGAGCTAACCACCCCCCTAGGCAGGACAGACCTGGGCAGAGCAGCATGAAGTTCTGTGCCTGGGTACCCCTGCTGTCTGAGCTCCTAGGCAAGGGGGTCCCCAATCTGAGGACAAGTGCTCTGGTGCTGCATACTCTTGCCTCTGTCTGCTACCTGGGCCTCAGTTTCCCTATGCATGGCTTGGAGGTGGGACTGAGGACACAGCTGCTTCCTGACAGCCTGGGATTCTGCAAGTGTGAGGCAGAGCTGGGGGTTCAGGGCACAGGCCTTGCCCCTTGGACAGAGTGGAGGAGGGTCTAGCAGGTTGCCACAGAAACAAGACCAAACAAATAGTGCCCCCCCAGGCCTAGAGGGCCCCTGAGGCCATGACCTCATCTGCCCACCAACCCTGGGCTGTGGGGGGTCGGGGGCTGGCAGGGGAGCTGCTGCATCCCATCTTGTGTTTGTGTTGGGCCCTCATCCATGGAAACAGGCTGGAGCTGGGGGGGAGGAGGGAGCCCAGAGCCCAGAGGCTCCTGCTGTGGTTATTAGCTGGGCAGCGAGGGGAGGGGGAGGAGAGGAGGAAGGGGGGCAGAAAGGGGAGGGAGGAGGAGCAGCCCAGGAGCAGGGAGGGAGGGAGAGGGGAGGAGGAGGAGAGGAAGAGGGAGAGAGACCTAGGGAAGGAAATGGAGAGGGGAGGACAAGGGGAGGGCAAAGGAGGGGGAGGGAGAAGGGGAAGGGAGGGCAGAGGAGAGAGGGGGAGGGGAAGAGGGTGGAGGGCAGAGGAGGGAGGGGGAGGGGAGAAGCCCTGTACACCCCGCCCCCCCCATGCCCCAGCACCAGATGTACCAGGTCATCACCCCTGCGAGCCCCGGGGGCTCTGTCCTCCCTGCGAGAACATAGGCATCTGTGTGGACCCTTGAGAACTAGTGGCGCCATTGCAGCTGTCACCTGGGCAGGACTCAGGGGGTGTCCGAGGGCAGTGGGCGCTCACCCACAAGACCGCTCCAGGCTGCCTGCCACGAGCTGTCACTTTGTAACCCGGGTCTGGACCTCGGACATGGCCCTCGGACATGGCCGTTGGCCCCCAGGGGATGGTCGGGTGCTGTGCAGGCATGTCCCTGCCGCCAGTGGTCACTGCAGGGGACTGTGCGCTTCCTGATCCCTCGCCGCCCACATCCAGTGAAGAACACGGTGTCTCTGGCTTCCCATGTGCTTCCTACAATGCCTTGGCTGCGCAGGACAGAGTGACAGGGCCACCCTCTCCCCCAGTGCCTCCTTTCTCCGGACTGGGTGGGGAGGGCGCCTGGGCCGTCCTGGATGTTGGGAACGACCCTGGAAGAGGCAGAAAGGCACTCCGAGCAGAGCAGAGTGGAGTGTGGCTGGGGATGGCCTTCAGGAGGGGGAAGCGCGGCCCAGAGGCCCCCCTCCCCGCCTGGACCAGACTCTGCTCAGAGCCCCCACAAGGCCCTTGGAGCTCCAGCGGAAGAGGCCATCCCAGGATCCTGCATGCTCTCCCGCCCTGTGGGTGCCTGCGACTTAGAGCAGGTGAGCTGTGTGTGTGCCCTCCCTCTGCCCTGGCACTCCTGTGGGCAGGCCCAGCCCAGGACCAGGCGACAGTGTCAGCAGCCAAGTCCCAGCCCCACACGACAGTGTCCTCCCGCCCCTCCAGGAGCCAGAACAGAGGCATTTGGGGCAGGCGGGTCCTCAGAAAGTTCACTTTGGGCTCCTTGCCCTTTCTAGTAGGTGGTCTGAAGTGCTGCACAGAGCAATTCAGGGATGGGGAGTGGACGATGGACAGGGAGGGGACCTTGGGGATGGGGAGAGGAACCCAGGGGATAGGGAGGGGACAGGGGTTGGGGAGGAGGGAAGCCCTGTAGACACACAGCACGTGTGGGTCCTCCTGGCAAGCCAGACATGCCTCCTGCTGATCAGATGAATGAAAATACAGAGCCAGGAGGGGGGATCTTGGGGTCCACCGCCTGGGGGTGGGGTGGGCCCTGAGCCCATTGATGCACAGAGAGGGGCTACACTTTTGGGGAGCCAGGGGCCAGTCCTCTGGCACCCCTGCTGGCTGCTCCAACCACAGAACCTGCTTGTGGTTGGGGTCGCAGGCTTGCTG